TCTTATTATGGTTTGTGATCTTATTGTTGAACAAGGTTAAGTTTAATTCTTAATCTAGATGATGAAGTTGATCAATAGCCAACTTGAATGATTAAGGTTAAGAATGATTAATGGGCCTTCTTAATAATAAGCCATTATTTAAGTTTTAACTGTTAAATCATAAGAAATTTACCAATTACAATCGAATGTAAGAATAATCGACTGTGAGTGGTCAATTTCTTATGACTTAATACTTAAAACTTTTCGCAAGTGCCGAATTATATGAGTGATTGTTTATATAGAACTTCTTTCTAACATCTCCCCAAGGCGTCTAAGGTAGGTTTTCATTACATTGCCTTACTGATGAGTCCAGTAGTGGAAACCGGGACGAAACGCCAACTTGTGATATTCTTCGCAATCTTATTATTTTCACAGATTTAAAATTTTCATTACTTCATTATTAAATTTTAATATATGTCTTTCAACATATTATTAAGATCTAATAAGATGCTATAGGCATCAAAATTTGTTAGATAGATTGTCAATTTAACTAAAGTGATATTACTGCAGTAGTCAATACGTATGCGTCAATGCTGAAAATCCATCAGCGTCGCGAGGAGAACTACATACGCGGTACATAAATTCACACAATTATAATTAACACTAACATCCTGTTACAATGACTCGAGTAGGCATTTTCACTTCCTATGATTTTTAAATCTTACGAGTCTACGGATATCATCATTCAATATATATTTAATACTTAAAACTTAGGTAATGGCTTATTATAGAAGGCCTATAAGATTTCGGATTACCGATTCTACCGACTCATTGTAAAATCTCCACTAAACATTTAGAATTTTTTGCTTTCTTTAAAGGATTGTGCACAATCAAGAAAATGGGGAACAGAAAATAAAAATTTTTACTTATTAGAAATTATGTGCTATGGAATTGACAGTTTATAATAAGACTTGAAATTTTTCATTTTCTGTTCCTTTAATTGTGTACAGTTCCTTAAAGAAAGATAAAAAGCTTTTCTTTTACAAACATAATTGATATAAAGGTCATTCATCTTTATTATTTGTTGGACAAAAAGGATAAAACGATTGTTCTAAAAGGAAAACAACATTTGCATATTTCACAAAGTATTTCTAGGCTACGTTCGAAAATATCATCTAGGTTTCCCCGAATATCATCTTATCCTTGTTATTCATTCAATGTTAAATAAGTATAAGACGATACACGAAGGTACTCAGGTGATATTTTCGAACAGCTGTAAAAACAAAAATTTTGTCGCTTACAAAGTCAATTTATGGGACCAAAAGACGCATCCTGGTATTAGCTCACGTAGCATGACAGCGCGTCCCAAATTTCCTTTGATCTCAGCGAGCCACGTACGCGACTCCGCGTCAAGCTCATTTGCATAGGGTAACCATTTATTATACGTCAACTCCTTTTGCGGACGAAATTCTTCAAGATCTGTCTCAAATGATGACAAAGACGGCATCGTCGAATTGTTCTCCGGGTTCTCCATGTCACGATCGCACTCGTTTGTCATGATCTAGCACGTATTAAACAGTTAATAGTTAAAACTGATTAATCGATGCTACGTTCGATGACGAATAACACGATAATAACTTGCACGCAGTTAAATCTACGACAACTTGCTTATTCTCGTTCATTTTCAACAAGTCATGTTTGCGTTCTAGGAGCCATGTTTTACATTCAAATAATCTGAAGTAAGCTATTTTACGAGACAGTGCTGCCATTCGAGAGAATGGGTGCGATTAGAGAACCTCTAGTAGAGAGAATCGCCAACTTGGTCACGTGACCAATTACGTGATTGGCTGGAGGAAATGAGCAGATTTGAGCATCTCGACACCAACGCATGACGTCAGAACACATGGCGGCCCCATCGTTCGCAATGAAATATTTACGTCCCGATTAAATGGTCCGAGGTCCGGGAACGCCGTCGGGGTACACGAAAACGAAAAGTCTACTAGAGGTTCTCTAGGTGCATCCAGAAGCACGACCGCTCATTGAGCGCTCAGTGGGCTCTTGTATACCTGTTTGGTTTAACATACTTAGATCTAATAGAATATGCCAATCAGATAAAAAAGCTCATTGAGCGCTTAGTGAGCGGTCGTGTTTCTGGATGCACCTAAAGGTTGATTTATACTGGCCGTAAACTGTTAACTTATGCCGTAATCTGTAAAAATTGACCAATCACAGTCGAATGAGAGGGGAATAATCGATTATAATTGGTCAATTTTTACAGATTACGGCACAAGTTAACAGATTACGGCCAGTATAATCCAACCCTTAGAGTACGCATTGTCCGAAATTAGAAAAAGTGGGGTTAATCCTATCTAGGCTGCGTTCAAAAACATCACCCGAGTGCTCTCATATATCGTTTTATTTTTGTTGTCCAACCATGTTAAACAAGAATAAGACGATACATGGGAGTACTCTATCTGTGAGACGATTGTCTATTAGTCAGCCATTTTTAATACCAATGAATGAGTGTCATGATTGGCTAAAGCCCATGGCACATAGAAAAACGTAAGGCCGTAAACGTAATCAGTAAGCGAATTGACCAATCACAGTTGAGAACGTAAAGGTATTTTTTCATGCGCAGCACGCTGCAGCAGCAATTCGTTAACTATTGGTTAAGACAATTAATTTTATGTAAGCTAGATGACGCACTTCCGGCGCAAAATACATTTTGCCGCAGTTCGTTGAAGTTGAACCGAACGAACAGCAAGCAGCAAGCGGCAAAATCGAGGCAATATTATTTATTGCAATAAATATTAGGAAAATAAACGAAGAATGGCTTCGGATAAGGTACGAATGTTTGTAAATTAGATTATTTTATACTTTACACTTTACTTTTTCAAATTTGTGGTAAAGTATAAAATGATCTAATTTACAAACATGTATCCGTACCTTATCCGAAGCCATTTTTCGTTTATTTTCCTAATATTTATTGCAATAAATAATATTTTCATAATGAAACGACGGACATATTGTACGCTTTCTCGATTTT